ATTTTAAGATGTTAGTATTGGAAATGTTTGGAGTTTCTTTCTAGCTTTGTGCCACATGGTTTGAAAATCCTAAACAGACGTTTGATGAATCAGCGTCTCTTTCCATTCCTTCTGTCCCACAAAGACTGCACACTTACAGAAACATAACAACATGTTCTTAAATTGAGAACACAGCAAAAAACCCCTGAATCACCAGAAGAAGTGGTAGTGGAATATGATTTTCATAAAACCTCATTGTTACATCATCGACAAAAATACTAAAGGTTGAGAATCAGATCAATCATCGCTTTTCCTTGCTCTTGTTAATATATTTAAATCGTCTTTTCTGTGGCTGCAATTGTGCTGTTTTCCATATGAGTGTGATCATTTAAGTCTGTTTGTCTTTTTAGTTCTTGTGAGAGGAAAACCAAGCATCCACTTTTTCAGGAGAAAAAAAAAAAAGGGCTTAAGTCAGCAGACTGTGCATTGGTGTCAATGTGCATTGAGCTTAAGAACTTGGGATGTGAAAGAATGAACACATTCCATCTGGGCAAAAGACTGATGTCTGTTAGGGTTCAGTTTGCTATGGTTTTTGAGCTTTCCGTATGATCTCATCACTGGAGGAGGAAAGTATATTCTCCCATAAGAATAATCTTATACTTATGATTCATTACTACTGTGTTTTTTGTGTGAGGCTTTTGAGTGCCCGACCTCCCCCCACTCTTCCACCCTAAATAAAAAACAACCACTGTGTCTTTGGCTTTATATGGTATTGCTATAGGTGGACTTATCCAGAAAAATGGTTGGCTTTAACAATCAGAGCCTTACATCTTTGTTTTAGAGAAGAACTCCTCCTAACATATATTTATACAGCTATTTATCAAGCTTTACATTTTGAGAAGAGAGCTTGTACACTTTGTTTCCTAAGGTTTAGTAAGCACTGTTTTGCGTGAATCTTCCCTTTTCTGAATTTTCTTTTTTCTACAGATAATTTCATATACTTGGTTTGGTAAGTTTACTTGGAAACAGACAATTTCTTAGTTTTTCTTGGTTAATATTTTGATTGTCACTTTAGTTCCCTGACGCGTTACCCTAATAAGTTAGCAATCAGTTCTTTGAGCAGCTGTGTGTTTTGGCAATAGCATTTGAAGCTGGAGATGGATCTCTTCACTCGTTCTCCCGCATCCCCTAATGTGTTCTCATGTCAGGAAGGTGCAGGCTAATCCAAGTGTAATGGTTTCTGGAACCATTACACTAGTACAGTATACCAGAAAAAGAAAAACTTGTAGATAAGTAAGTAAACCCTGTAGGATGCTTTTGGAGGCCTAGTGACATGGCAAATAGATGAGGACCCTTTCCCTTTTCTCTTGCCACATGACTGTAGACAATTTGTTTATTTCCCAGTAGTGCTAAAGTAATCTGTCTGTTTAAGAAAAATAAATAAAAAAAAAAAAAGGCATTTGTGATCAGACCAAAGTGATTCCGGTGCAGTGAATGAAGTCAGTCATCTAGCATCTTGCGCTCGGTTCCTGGAGTCTAAGGGACATGTATTGCAGAAAACCCTGTGGACTGTGAAGAGCTCATGTATAAATACTGAGATCATTGAAGACCTGTCTCCTGTTAGAAGTACAGCAGGGAAGTGTAATAAGCTTGAAGTGCAATAAATATGATAAATGACCCTATTTTGATTCACTTGGCTCCTGCTCCTTTGAACTGAAATTTAAGTTCATATATAGTAGAGGAATACAAAGGGCACTGGCTCAGGTTCTAGTAACAGTCTGTATGTTAAATTCTCCATTTTGGTAGGAAAAGGTGGATCAGGCAAAGAAAACTAAACCTTGTTTTTCATTAGACCTGTCAAAGATAGTCATGAGCTAACAGTGTGGATTTTTGATTTGGTGTAGTCCTTTGAGGATAGTGGAGTTCCGGTATGCATCTTATTTTTAAGAAGGGAGTTGGGTTTTTTTGAGACTTAAGGTGTCTAATTGCTGAATATACTATATTCACATATTGAAGTATCAAGTGGTCATTGAAGAGCAGACTTAAAGATTCTTTGCTGAAACTCCTGCCTCCATGCTTTTCTTCAAAACACAAAGTAATCACTTTAGAGTGTAGAACTTTTTACTAAGAAAAAGAAATTGAATTGATCCCCCTACATCTAGTATGTGCAGTTATTGAAGCCTGGAAAAAGGCTAGCACACTGTGATGGTTTAATTTGTTTCTGATAGTGATAGCTTCATTTTTCCATCTTTCTGTTGCAGTCTGATAAACAAAGTGATGGGTGGTGGGAACTGTTGGCAGGAGGGGAGTATGTCACCTTCAAATTGGTACCTGGGTATGAAAATTATAGACCTGGAACATTAAAATTTTAGTTATAGGATTTGTGTGAAAATGAAAGCAGAAGGCTTATTGTGTAATGATTGAATAGGCCAAGTGGAAATTGTTTGTATTTGTCACTTTTTAAAGTATGTGAATCATCTTGTATCTTTATATGGTTAAGAATAATCCCCTGCTATTAAGAAAATTCTTTTATTTTAAATGAAGCACGAAATATTTGAGATCTAGACTTGTATAATATTTCCAGATATAAGGCATAGCCTGAGAAGTGGAACTAAAAATAGTTTAACAGTTGTTAAAAGCTGGAAATTCTACTCAAGGTCATCTTATTTGCACTTATGAATTGTGCCACTTGAATACCAAATAGTTCTAAAATGAGTAGTTTATTATTATTAACAAGAATAAACAAGTTTATTCGTGTTATTTTAAATAAAATAATGTAAAACCAGAGCTTTGATAAAAACTTAGGCCTGTGGAAGGACCATGGCAGGGCAAACAGTGAGAATGCTCTGAATAAGAAGTCTGAACTTGATGGTCTGTCCTATTAATTAAGTCTTCTGATCACTGTACTTTTTACTCAGCTCCTCTTTGGTTCTACCTTTGTTGTAATTGGAACGCATTAGTTTATACTCATGCTCTCAATTTTTAATAGAATCTAAATGATTTTTTTTCTAATGTGTCTGACACATGATTGAGATGAAGCTATTTTTTGGCAAGAATCCTGCAAACCCCATGGGTCTGCTTCCAAATCAGTATCTGGCTCCTGTCACCTATGGTGTACCATGCCTGTGAGTGATCCTAATTCAAAGGCAGCAAAAATTTGTTTTGGGTTCAGAAACTTTACAAAGTTTACTATAATACTGTTACGTGTTTTAGAAAAAAATACTACTGTTTGTGCTGTACTTTCTGAACACTGCAGAACGTTTCTAGGTTTGAACTTGAGGATAGTTTTGTGCCAAAATGCTCTAAAAGTATAGAAATCCAGAACCTTCCTGTTTACCTGTGGCATGTTTTCAATGGGATTGTGAAACTTGGAACTAATCTTATTTTCTTTGCAGCTAATCTTTCTTCTTGGATCAAATGTGGTCCTTTCAGTCTCAATTGTAAACTATAAGACAAACTATGCTTAGAAAAGAACCGCTGCATATGTCTATATTATAATTTTGTTATCCTTATATTGAACTAATTCCTGGCTAGAAAAAGGGTGGTCTAATTAAAGGTTGTTATCCCATTCTGATCTCGTTGTTGAATAGGTGATGAGACTAGAACAAGTGTGTTTCAAAAATTAAGAGTATATTTCCTCATCTGATCTTGAATCTCTTGTATGCGTAAGAGACATGATCTCAGTATTCTCTCTTCTCTCCTAGCCTTGAAAAGCATCGCAGTGTTGAACACTTTTCTAATTGTTGGAGTGCCATGGAAAGTGTGACGGAAATTGATGCTCTGTTTTCTCAATAATGTCAATATTGAAAGTTAACAAAACAGCTGGATACTGAATTTTCTTGTGCTGGGAGATGGAAATAAGATAGTGGGAAATTCAGCATGATCTTTTAGAAAAACTCCAACAAATAAACACAAAGGCCCCCAAACCAACCCACAAAAAACCCCAAGACAGACGGGGGGGAGTCGTCTTCTCTCTCCTTCACAAAATATGAAGAAATAGTTCACTACTTTCCTTTTGTAATTTGTGAAGTATGTGTCTCCTCAGCCTTCTCAGTTTTCCAAATGGCAGGCCACATTCCTTGCAAGCCAGGCATCATGTGCTTTCTATAATGTTGGATGTGCTGGAGTGGTATGTTCAGAGAATTTGACTTACTGATAAGAAATCATTCCTTTCTATTTTTATTTCCTGTCTGCATCTGGACATTTCCTGTAAAGACAACTTGCATAGTATCACCCGCTCCTCTCCTAATAAGTAGTGTGTTTATGGTATGTTCTGCTTTCTTGTGTTTCTAATATGATGACATTCATGATATGCTCCCTTTTAACTTGAGGCTGCACCTTAGCTTCCAGATGACTGCCGTAATCGGGATTAGCTACAGATGAAATTGTGCTTTTCAGAAATCAATAGAACCTTTTCTCCGGGATAAAATGTTACATCTAGGTGTCAGCTGTTGTAAAATATGTCAAAACCAAAAAGCGTTTCCTTTATGAGCAGGTGAATTTTTTGTGCTGAACTTTATCGTGTGTGTGTGTGTTCTTCTATATATGCTAGAAAGAGCAAGGGCCTTCCATTTCTCATTTCTTGTAGAAGTAATTTCCAGTGGAAATGTAAATTTTATGAAGCTAGTGCAACTCCAGATTCCTTGTTCTCCAGTCTTTGCAGAAAACTTTGTGTATGGTTATGACACTTAATTAAAATTTCATGGTTGATGGTGAGGAGAAAGGGCTGTGTGGGAATCTACTGGGGGGGAAAAGTGCAAAAAAAGGAAAAGTAAATCTTTATCTCTTCCATTAGTACTTAGGCCTGTTTGTATTGACCACAATTTTTCAGAATGAACACCTTTAAGCAAAAGTCAAAGTGCTCGTGGTTTTCTATGTAGAAGGGTGGATGTTTCAGCAAGTTGCAAGGAATATTACTTTAATATTTTTTTGAGTTAAAAAAAAAAGTTAACCTTGAAGATGTAGATTTGTCATAAGTAATTTTATGTTCTACTCTAAAATACTTGTATTTTAACAGTGAACAGAGTATCTGCCAAGCACGAGCTGCTGTAATGGTCTATGATGATGCCAATAAAAAATGGGTACCAGCTGGTGGATCAACTGGATTCAGCAGAGTTCATATATATCATCACACAGGCAACAACACATTCAGAGTAGTGGGCAGGAAGATTCAGGATCATCAGGTAAGTAAATATCTGGAAATTTGGAATAGGAATCTTAAGCTATTTTTATGATTGTTTTTAACATTAAGAAATAGGTCTTCAGTAAAATTTTGGGAACTGTAAATAATAAATTTACTTTTATTTTGAACTGAAGTAGCAAAACTGTATTATTGCTTTTTTCCCATAAATTAAGCACTTTACGTACATCCAAGGTACGTAAGTGTAGTCTTTTGTGCACTCCTTGTGTGCTCTTTAGTGTTCCTTTCTACAGACAGACATAAAGGCTAGTACTGTACACAGAAGTCATCTGATTCTCTTTAAGGCAAAGTGTCAACCTAAGAACTTTTCTTTTTCCCTACTCTTTGCTCTTAGCTGAAGGCTATGTAGGTACCAACAGTTCTCTTGTAGCTCTTCTGTATTATGAAAAGTTGGATGCATGATTTCTCATTTCCCCAGATCAGTTCATTCAATAAAAACCTTCTGACATTTGGTAACGCTGATCATCTGCCACTTGGAGAAGTTGAGAAAGGAGCAACAAGGATTACATGTTAATTTCCTTGATGAAGAAGTTATTAGATCTTGATTAAATGGCAAACTTAGCACTCTGTCTTGAAATATGCTCTGCCTTGTGGTATTTGGGGTGAGGTTAAAGATCTATTCTTTTTATTTGAGGAAAGCTTCTATATCTGTTTCTTTCTGTCCCAGCATTTCATAAAATTCTTTTGGTCTGTTCTTGGTCATTTATCACATGCCTGAAGCATAGACTGATAATGTCCTTTGTGATTTGTCAGTAAACACTTATTCCAAGAATAAATGATCTCTGCATTCACCTGAGAACAAACCTGTTTTTCTTCTCCCATATTCAGTGGAAAAAAGTGAGAGAATATAGTTATAGAATATAGTTAATATATATATATATAATATCCAAGTACAATAGGGTCCTCTCTTAGCAGACGGCTTGTAATAAATGGTTGTCCTACTAGCTAGAATTTATCACGTTTAGCGTAAGCCATAATGATCTTATAAAATGATGCTTTGTGATGCATAGTAGAAGTCCACATAACTGCTGCTGAAAGCACGTCAAGCTAAGGGGTGCAGCAGCCACAGTGAGAAGGTGATAACTTGGTTAAAAAACAGAATTCTAACAAGCATTCAGTGAAGTTAATGTAAAACTGAGGTTTTGAAATCCAAATGCATATTCGTATCAAGTACTCTGCTGCTAAAAGTCAGAACTGGTGATACTACTACATTGCTGTTATGAAACATCACTGCATCTTTTGAAATGGGAACACTTAAGCTACAAAAGTTGATACAAAATATCTCATTCGTCCCATTGTGTATTCTCATTGATTTCATGCGGCATTGGAATTAAAATTGAAATGGCTGTGCTTCAGCATTGTGATCTTGTGGATTGTGGGACTGGAATTAACCCCCGTGGTTAGGGAATAAAATCTACATGAAGCTGAAACTTGTAATGAAATAGCAATTTTAAACATAAGTAACTTTTTTTTATGATTATAGGTGGTAATAAATTGTGCCATTCCGAAAGGGCTGAAGTACAATCAGGCGACACAGACCTTCCACCAGTGGCGTGATGCTAGGCAGGTGTATGGTCTGAATTTTGGCAGCAAAGAAGATGCCAATGTCTTCGCAAGTGCCATGATGCATGCCTTAGAAGTATTAAATTCACAGGAAGCTGGTAAGAGTCTCTTAACTTTTTTGGGAAGATTTTTCAAATACAGAGATGGAAAAAAATCAAATGTTTATGCATAAAAGTCAATAAGTGTTGTTTCTAATCATGATTCAGCCTTTAGCCATTTTAATTATTTGGATGTTTTGTCTCCCTAATTGCTGCTGCTTAATAGTGATTCTCAACTTGACTGCCATCTGTGTAAATGCAATTCCCAACAATGTTATCTATTACATATAGAAACTTGCTAGCTTTGCTTTTTATTAAGGAAACAAAACCAGAACACCTGACCAACGAATGTGTAGCTCATAATAGGGATACTTTTCAGGATTCTAAAGACATCCAGTGTTCTTAATGTGATGTCGTGGTTTAACAGCTGCTCACTGTTCCCCAGTGGGATGGGGGAGAGAATTGGAAGAGTAAAAGTGAGAAAACTCGTGGGTTGAGATAAAGACAGTTTAATAAGTACAGCAAAAGCCGTGCATGCAAGCGAAGCAAAGCAAGGAATTCATTCACTACTTCCCATCAGCAGGCAGGTGTTCAGCCATCTACAGGAAAGCAGGGCTCCATCACGCATGCTGATTACTTGGGAAGAGAAACGCCATAACTCTGAACATTCCCCCCTTCCTCCTTCTTCCCGCAGCTTTAGATGCTGAGCATGATGTCACATGGTATGGAATAGCCCTTTGGTCAGTTGTGGTCAGCTCTCCTGGCTGTGTCCCTTCCCAACTTCTTGTGCCCTCTCAGCCTGCTCACTGGCTGGGGTGGTGTGAAAAAAGGCAGAAAAGGCCTTGACTCTGTGTAAGCACTGCTCAGCAGTAACTAAAACATCCGTGTGTTACCAACAGTGTTTCCAGCACAAATCCAAAACATAGCCCCGTACTAGCTACTATGAAGAAAATTAACTGTACCTCAGCCAAATTGAGCACATGTGTATTGGTATTTTTCCTTCTCATTGGGTACTAGTTTATTATAAAAATGTTAGGTTTTTTTCCTCCAGACTTTGGAATTCAGGTCATCCTCTTTGGCAGTTCTTAGCATACAGAGTTTTTTAGCTTGGGGATCTTGGATCCACAGGTACCATTCAGATGAGCACATATATTTTAGACAACAGATCTATCATTTAATTTGTTTGGAGAACAGGATGACATAGAGGGTTTAAAGCATTGGTGGAAAACTTAATGGTTTTCAGTCTTCCGGTGGTGTCTGTAATATATTCTAGGTAGGCTCTGCAGCAAATTGATCAGTGTAACACTGGGACACACACAGAGGGAGTTTTCATTTAAAAGACTTCAAGAGACTTTTGTGTTCTTGTAACCAAATAGAATTCTTTTGTCCTCATTAAACTTTAAAGATCGCCCGTGTAACGTGAGATAGTACTTGTGTGCCAGTTTTCTTTCTCTTGTGTAGAAGAGAGGCTGTAGATAACCTTACTAGTGCTGTCTCAACTACAGCAAAAAAGGGTGACTTTATGAAGCTGCCTTTCATTCTGACAGTTGTTTCAAGACTTAACCTTTTGAAACTAAGCAATCTAGACCAAGAAGGATGATACATTCTGCAGTGTTTATGCTGTTATGCAGCAGATGAAGGCAAAACATAAAGGGTAGCTAGAGGTATTAAGGTTTCTTTTTGCCAGCTAAAATAATCCAGTTGCGTATCCCACTCTCCTACCTCTCAGTTGGATATTTTCTCCTCTAAATTCCTCAGTTGTTCATTGTTGAAGAAGACAACTTTTCTCTAATAATTTATGTAGATTGCTGTGTTTCCTAGTATATCTAAAACGGCATATAGAATCTCCAACTCGAGTAAAATAAACAAATCCTATATAGATAACTTCGCTTTTACTCAAGAATTGCTTACAATTAAAGTTTGATTCTTGCAATATCCTTATTTTCTGCTGTGTTTTCTCATTTTGGCAATTTCTTTTATTAACTCGGTTATTTTTAATTGTATTTTGTTCACAGAAGGAAAGCAGTTTTAATGTTAGCTGAGCATACTGTTCAGAAGTCCATAAAGGTGCAGATGAATATTAAACTTTACGCAAGGATTCACAGAAATCTAAATGATTCCTGATGAATAGTAAAAATTATTTTATGGATATCCTTTTGGTTTGCGAGTCAGCTGTTACTTATGGCTCTTTCTCACTCTTTAAAAAGAAAAAAATCATACAGTCTCCTTCTCTTGCATATCTTTGAAAAATGTGATTGATCTTGCTTGCAGTTGGCATCTTCACGTGTTGGTTTGCTGGCATAATTTGAGATTGTTTAATTTAGGATCTCCCTCTAGTGGACTACAGGAGCAGAGGCGAAGGCATTGGGTGGCTGTACCACTGAGCAGTGATGGGCTTTTTGTCATTCTAATGAGTTCAGAATGCAGAATGAAAGTGTTTGAATTTGGAGCAGAGTAAAGGCTTTACCACAACTGGCAATTTTCTTCCCAAAAAAAAAAAAAAAAGCACAGGTTTGTCTGAAAGGACTCTGACCTGATGGCTGCCTTGTCAGCAAAAATGTCTGAAATATGCTGTCTCTATTTTTTCTTTTTTCCTCTCCCTGATATGCAGTGCTGATCACGTGATTGTCCTAATTTCTCTTATGCAGGAACATTTGCATTTAAGTCAATGTAAAAGTCAAAGTATTTTCACTCTGTTCTGGTTTGAATGATTGTATTAGCTAGTAAATATTCAACCAGTCCCTGTTTTGCTGCTGGCTAGTCGAGCAGGTTGTAGGCTACCTGTGAATCCTGAATAGAAAGACAACAATGCAGGACTCCACTTTCTCTTGGTGGACTACCAATGCTACAAGTTCCTGCCCCACACTGTTTAGGAGATGTAGTAAAAAATGTACCAAGATTTCATTCTGGCACTCCTTTCGGAATACTTTGAGAGATTTACTCATTTCATTAAATAATTTTCTGAGGTGATCAAAAGTTACACCTTCATCAAATGACATGTATGTGTCATCAGTTTAAGAGGTCATTTGAAGAGGATTTCTGGCTTTAAGGGCTGTGTACACTGTGTTGAGATATTCAGGAATTGGTCTTAATTGTCTAGATGAGTGCTTTCCACAAAGAATTTGCATTGCATTACAAAGAAAATTTTCATATCTGCATTAAATAGAGTTCAGCGTTGCACTCGAAGTGACTCTGGAATGAGAGAAAAGCATCAATGA